GAGCTAATCTATCCTTTCTCTACCTTGCAGCTATATTTGCTGTCCAGCAGCAAAACTTCAATTTTTCCATCTGGAGCAGCAGCAGCGCGTTGGCGCCGCGTCAAGTGCGTCAGATGCTTAAACGCTCCCGACGCGCCGAACCTGCTTGCCATAAAAACGCCCTGCGGGACCTTTTGCTGCACCTATACGCGCGTCAACCATTGACTTTGCATGTAAACTCGCTGCTTCTGCTGCACCTGCTGCGTCCGGTTTACACCGATGTCGAGCGGTTGAAGTTCCTTTGTCAGACCTCCCGCAATAAGCACAGCGTTCATTTGTTTCACCATGTTTTTCACATCAGCTGTGAGATGGGCAGGCATGGAGTCACAGATTAACAGCGATGGTGATGCGTGGAAAAAAAACACCTGGTCTCCTTACATTCACTTCCCTCAGCCACGCTTTCATCATCTCCTCAATGAGGAGATGAGGAGTTCTGCATGGTGCACGGTGGTCTCAGAAGTCCGCAGTAACAACACATAGGGGGCACCGCACCAAAGGGCGTGCCGCACATTTTGAGGGGAAAAAAAGACGTTTATATGTGCCTTATAGTCGTGAAAATACGGTAATTTTCTCTGGTTAAAAAATCAAATAAAATGCAGCCGAGTTGTGCCTATTGTTTTTTTTTTTTATTTTGTTGATGAAAAGTCATTTACAATTTTCTCCACACTCCAAACTGAATTTTAATTCTGATTTTCTGCCACACTAAAGTTCTTTATATGTTTTGCTCCAGGATGTTAATGTTTCATAGCCTTGAATAAAGGTGACTCAAAGTCAGCTTTCATTAGCAGCTTATTTAAAAAGAACCATTAGAAAGACCACATGTGTGAGAAATTATTTAAAACAAAAAATGTGACATATTTGTGATCCAGACTGTGGGAGAGAGAGAGAGCAGGATTTTTAGCAGATAACAGGAAGGCTGTGTGAAGTTTAGTAGAAATGCTGTTTTTTTTTAATTTTTTTTTTTATGTTTTAATATCCATCTGTCTGGAATAATTTCAGTCAGAAATGTTGTCAGCCTTTTATGAATTTCCAAGCCAAGTTTTACATCTACAGGGTTTTTAAGGAAAAAACACACAAAACCAGATGTTTCTATGATTCTATCCATTCTGCACTGATCACTAAAATAATTGAATATATTTTAAATATTTTACCTTATAAAGTTAAAGACTGTAACCTACTTACAATATAAACCTTAAAAGTTTAGAGCGTCTGCTTTCACACATGATGCTTTCTATGGCCTCTGCTGCTGCTAAAGTAAACAAGGCCAGAAAATCTGATATAAATCATGTTCTTGTGTCTTTTTATACGTTTTAAAAAAATCTTAAAGAAAAGATTTAAGGTTTATAAAACCAGGGAATAAGAATCTTATAAAGGAGAGGATATTCTATGTGTAATTCTCAAAAATGGAGATCATCTAAAATAAATTTGCTCAATAAAGAAAACTCCTCTGAAGATGCTTTAGTGGTTTTTGTAACAGGCTCTTTAATTTCACATAGAAATTCATTTAAAAAGAGGTAAAAAAAATAGAACTTTAAATTCGAACAGGTAAATTAGATTATATCTCAGTAGAATGAATATTAGTGCACTTAAAAATAGATAATTAGATTTTATATATTAAAAATAAGATGATAGAGGTTTTTATTTAATCATTATGTGAGATGTAAATCATTATTTACCTGCAGAAAGAATTAAGGGAAAGAAACCTGACATTTTATTTTTTACATTGGTTAGTTGTTTTTTTTTTTTTCCTTATAAAAACGGCTAAGTTTAGCTTAAATGTGACTGTTTTACTGCTTCCTAACAGGAACAAGCAGATGATGGGTCTGGGCTCTCTGTTTGGGGAGGGAGACCTGGCGCTGCTGGACGGGGACCCTCAGAAGGAGAGGCAGGTGGTGGACAGACAGGTCACCGCTCTCTGGGAGATACTGTGAGTCACTTCCTGGTTTTTAGTTTTTCCTGCCTTCATGAACCAAATTCTAACTTAACAATGAGGCGAAATCAGGGATCCTTCCTTTAAAGACAGACTTTCTTTCTTTCTGGAGGAAATGAAACCCAGCAGTGTCTCCTCCTGCTCAGGTCTTTAGAGTCCAATAAAATAGTTAATTACAGAAGGAGCTTGGCCGAAGCGATGATAACAAAGGTCGTTGCTGCAGATCTAAAGCTAGAAAAACATGTGACATTTATTCTTCTGGCTCCACACACCCCGTCAGATCCTCGTCACATGACTCAGACGACAGGGCTGCTGTTTGTTGGAGATGTAACTAAAGTTCTAAAGATATTCAGCAACATTTTCTGTTTCTCTCTCTGTTCCAGATCAAAGCATGAAGAGGAAAGGAGGTAAGACAAATTTAACACGTAAAGCGTGCAGACGTGGTCGCCGACTCGTGTTGTTTTGTTGTTGCCGTCTCGTTTCGTCTCCTCGCCGTGGTTGATTCTGTCTCCTCCTCTTGGCCGCAGCTCTCCTCTGGCCTCAGCCGTCGTCCTCTACCTGCGTCACTCCGGCATCAAGCTCAGAGACTCCAAGGTCTTCCCCGGCCTGAGCACAGAGAAAGAGAAGTGGCTGCCGTTTTTAAAATCCAAAAAGGTAAAGATCCCAAAGCGTCTGCTGGTAAAACGGCTTTCCGCCTCTGCTGCACATTTCATTCATCTTTAACCACATAAAAACACTTTTTATAGGAAGGATCTAAATCCGCCCCCGACTTAAATTGATGTTTTCATTTTAAAAGCTTTAAACTGCTGCTGTTTATCACTCTAAGCTGTTTGAGTGTCGCTGAACTCTGCTCTCAGTCAGCAGGCCGCTGAATGGAGGCTAGAGAGCCGCTCAGTTTGCCTTTAATGGAGGAGATCACTGTCTGGATATGAACCTTTGTAGGTAGAGAGGAAACCAGCAGAGCTGAGAGGATGTTTCTGAGGTTCTGATAGGAATCTCATCTAAGCTGGTTGGATTTTTATTTAAGAGAAAAAAGAACAGTTCTTTTTTTGCCTGCTATGAACATTTATATCAACAGCAAAGATGATATTGGTGTATAACGAAGGAAATCCCTGTAAAAAGGTGGGGCAGACGCTCCTCTGGCTGTGATTGGTTGTTTTGACTCGTCCCGAATTATTCTTTCCAGATTGAAATACAGGCAGTATGCGGGACCAATTGAAGCAGTTTTTTTCACAGGTTACGTATCACATGTACTGCTGTCTGGACATAGGGACAGTTTTAGCCAATATGACAAAAAATGATTTTTAAAAACTTACAGACTTAGGCTTTAAGGGCTGGTTATTCTCCCGCAGCAGTGTGTCGCAGATATTTTTGATTTATGCCCAATATTGAAGCATGGTCTGCTCTATGTTATTCCACGCCACAACGCAAGACGGACAATCAGGAACTAGCTGTGGTTCTAAATAGGCGGTAAGGAAGTGGAAACAATGTAAGGGGCAGGTTTGTGTGACAACGGAGGGATATTAGGGGGAAAAGTAGCGGGGATCCAGGTGGAAAAACACTCCCAGCGTTCTCGCGCACCTCGTTCTTCTAGCTGTTCCATCTTCACGAGTCGTTTTCCACAATGGAGGTCATACAAACTAAACAAGCCTGTAAGGTACCAAACAGAAAATATGCATAGTGTAGAGCGGATGTAGATTTGATCAATCAGAAACCTGCTGTCTGCGGCACTGTCTGTAGTCAACCACAATTTTGGAGAGGTGCAGCAGAGTGTCTGTGGAAGGGGCGTGTGTCGCGTTCACTGTGACGCACGCAGACAACCTGGTTTCTGAGTATTAACTGTCAGAGGGGCAGCATTATTTTGATTTATATATATATATATATATATATATATATATATATATATGTATATATATATAAACTAGTGTTGCACCAATGCCATTTTTTGGCCGATACCTGGCTGTGTAGTATTGGCCAATAACAATACCATCTGTTTGAAATTGATGCGTGTGTGTATATAGGTAGAACTGCATACTACTTGGATGTAAAATAATTGCCATCATAGCTTTGACCCCCACATACCAGCGGTGCACTGTCGGTAAGAATCCCATTCTACAGCAGCCTATGGACCGGTTGCCTCCTCGCCGCGGCGGCTGGAAGGCGGTTAGCATGTACTTAAACCAAACTGCAGGCATCAGGATAATAAAAGCAAACATGTTTTGTCTGCAGGTTTCAGCATCTTAAGGTAATTTAGGCGTCAATAAACTGTTTCAGAGGAGTGATCACAGCGCTCTGCATCATCAGCGATGTGTCTGTCTACATGTCAGCTCCCAGATCAGCTTCTCTGATTGGTTGATGCGGCGCGTCGAGCAGCAAAAGTTCAATTTTTCTATCTCGAGCAGCAGCGCGTTTGCAGCGTGGCGCTCGTCAGATGCTTAAACGCTCCCGACGCGCTGCTTCAGCTGCTCATAACGAGCTGCGGGACATTTTGCTGCGCCTTGACGCACGTCAACCATTGACTTTGCATAAACTCACTGCTCCTGCTGCGTTGGATGTGTACACAGCATAATACAAGGTGAATCCAGTAGAACCTTTTATTGCCTACCTGGAATAAGTGACAATAGTTGACTAAACTTTTGGCTCTCTAAATGGTATCGGTGCCCCATTTGTTGGTATTCGCTGATACAGATACCACCATTTTAGTACTGGATCAGGGCCCCGCCCGATATCAGTATCGGTGCAACACTAGTTGTAACATTATGGTGGTGTGGGGTTAGCATTAATAGCTAGCTTTTATTAGTTTTATTTCTGGCTTTAATCAGAAAGTCAGCTTAAAATAAGAATAATCTGACTAATTCTGGGGCTCTAGCCTCCCTGATTCAGGAAGTTAACAGGTAACATGTTGTTTTTTTAAATTAACTTTATATTTGATGATAAATTAATCAATTGAAGGCTTGCTAACTGAATCGTACTCATATATCAAACATTCAGTTGTCTTCAAGAAACTTTCTCCTGAAGATCATTAACCTCAGAGATCTACCGATGCGTCAACCAGCGCACATTTTTCACCACGATTAGCAGCTTTTCTCTTTTTTTAGCGGCGGTTGATATGTGCATAGTTACACTGACTCATCAGTTAGGATGTTCCTAACATTTTTAAGCGCTTTGGAAGAAAAACTAAACAATCATGTCAAAGTTTTCCCTTTAGATCTCCTGTTTCCTGAGGCCAGTTAAGCTCTGCTGGTTACAGAACCAGTCTGGATGATTCTTTCTTTATAAAACTAACAAATGCAGCATGAAGGGCGGAACTGGATATTCTGCTGTTTTCAGTCTTTCTATGGTGGTTTTCAGTTTTTTTTTTTCCTCATATAGAGAAACTTATAAAAGCAGGATTTTCTGGCATTTAAATGTTTTAAGGAGACGTTTGAGGTGTTCTGATGTAAAAGGGGACATTTTATTGTCAGTATGAGAAAAAGAAAAAAGACAAAATATGTTTGATGTTTCTTTGTTTTTGTCCTCTGCAGCCAAGCAGCGTTAAGAAAGAGAAAGATGGAGAAAGCAAAACAAGGAACCCCATCCTGAAGTACATCGGCAAACCCAGGAGCACATCCCAGTCCAGTAAAGACACACACACACACACACACACACACACACACACACGGATATATGATCCTTTCTGTTGTCTTTAAGTGTTTATGGCTGAGACAGATTCTAAAAATTACAACTAAACATTGAATGAAAATGTCAAACCTGATGTTTTAATTAATGCAGAAAAAATTTCTATTATCGTTACTGTTAAGATAAAGTTTGTTTTTCTAAACCTGGAAGTATTTTCACACATCAGATTTAGCAGGTGAAGTAAAAGTGCAGCACAAAAGTGCAGTCTTTCAGCCAGCTGACCTCCAGTCCGCAGCCACATATGCGCTGCAAAAACGATCTAGAAATAAATAAATAAACATTTCTTAAATTAAGGGTATTTTCCCTTAATTTGAGTAGGTAAATGAAATGATTTCCCAGTGGAATGAATATTTTTACTCTTAAAATCAGATAATTAGATAAAATGCACTTGAAATAAGACAATGCAATTGTGTTTTCTTATTTTAAATGTAAATTGTCTTGCTCCGTTGGAAAAGTGTTTCACTTACCTCCTCAATCCAAGAACAAATTCACTTATTTTAAGAAAAATGTACTTATCTAGATTTCAATTTTTTCCAGTGTGTTGATGTTTGCTGTATTATGCTCTAAGTATGTTGTATCCTAGTAACAGTTGCCAGGTCACAGCTCCCTCTCCCTCTCTCTTCACCTCCAATCATGTTTTGATTTTTGCCTGCGTCAATCATGTCGTCCTTTTCTTTTAAAATGGTTTTTAATTTAAGGGTCTTCAAATCTCATCACTCATAATTCGATGCTTTCTTTTTGGCTTGTTTTTTTGTTTGTTTTTTTTAGCATTCCACATCCCGTTGTCACCCACAGAAGGTATTTTATTGTTTCCTCTTTTTTTTTATTTAATCCAATTTCTTTAATTTGTCAAATCCATTAAAGTTCAACCGTTAATCTCAGATTGTCCCTTTCTAAAAATCTTCTCTCTAGTTGATCTGTGTTGTTGTTTTTCTTGTCCCGCTGATGACTGCTGTGTTCGCAGTGCGTTCTGGCAGCGTGAGGAACATCATTCAGCAGTTTGAGAACCACACAGACCTTCCAGGAGAGGACGAGGGGGATGCTGCGGACCCCCAGAGGCTGTCCTCCAGCAGCCTGGGAGAGGAAGACATGGACAGGTGAAGCCGCTCGTCCGTCCCGTCCTTCCTGGCCCTGAAGCAGGACATTAACGTCTCCCTGGTTTCTCCCACAGTCCTAAGGTCGCAGTGCGTCCCAGACGCAGCGGCTCGTTAAAAGCTCAGGGAGAGGACCGCCGGCGGGGCGCCGTCCCCGGCGGGGACTCGGTGCCTCGCTCTCGAAGCGACGTGGACATGGAGGACTGCGAGGAGAGGGAGCAGCCTGGCCTGCCACTGCTCCATCACAGCGCCTCGTCATCCGTATCCAGCAGCTCGGCTCGGTGAGGATCCGTCAGTCTGAACCCTGCTGGGGTTTTATTTCCTGATCAGCTCAGACTGCAGGCGTCTTGTTCAGCCTCACAGCCGCTCTCTTTCCGCTCCTGAGGTTTAGCGTCTCTCCTCACGCCGTCTCTATTTCCGCTCTCCCACACTCAGGTCTCTAGAGAACCCTACACCCCCATACACCCCCCGGTCCAGGCGCAGGTGAGTCCCCCCCATCATCCTCGCTCAGGATGAATGAAAATCGCAGAAGATAAGGAAATAGAGCCAGAGAATTAAATGGGGATTTGGTTTATTTATTCTGTCTTTAAGCAGCTTTTTTGTTTCACTGTTTAATCTGAATTTAAAAATGTGAATAATTTTTTTTTTCCTGTTTGTGTCTTCATCCTGGCTCCCATCTCTACATGTTACTCCATCAGGAGTGTGGACTCCCAGCAGGCCCTGCTTCCGGACGGTGCGTTGCTGGAGGACGAGGTGTGTGACGGTCAGAACTGGAGGGACACGGTTGCTCCTGAGCTCCTGGCAACTCTCAGCCCCAAGGAGGTGGAGCGGCAGGCCGTCATCTACGGTACGGCTCACTTTTAGCGAGATCTAAGACTAAACTTTGAGGCGTCTTTCATTTATGAGTTTCCTCTGTGCCATTCAGAGCTCTTCACCACCGAGGTGTCCCACCTGCGGACCTTACGGGTTCTGGATAAGGTGTTCTACCGCAAGCTGAAATCCGTGCTGAACCCGGAGGAGCTGGCCTGCATCTTCCCAAACCTGCCGCAGGTTTACGAACTCCACGGTCAGTCTGGCTGGCAGCGTGTTGTACATTGTTGTTCATTTTTAGACGTGCAGTGTGAGCAGATACACTACCGTTCAAAAGTTTGGGGTCACATTGAAATGTCCTTATGTTTGAAGGAAAAGCACCGTACTTTTCAATGAAGACAACTTTAAACTAGTCTTAACTTTAAAGAAATACACTCTATGCATTGCTAATGTGTTAAATGACTATTCTAGCTGTTCTTAAAAAATGAAGGCTATTCCATGCGAGAAATTGCTAAGAAATTGAAGATTTCCTACAACGGTGTGTACTACTCCGTTCAGAGGACAGCACAAACAGGCTCTAACCAGAGTAGAAAAAGAAGTGGGAGGCCGCGTTGCACAACTGAGCAAGAAGATAAGTACATTAGAGTCTCTAGTTTGAGAAACAGACGCCTCACAGGTCCCCAACTGGCATCTTCATTAAATAGTACGTGCAGTAGACTGTTTTTGTAGCTTCTGTAACGAGCTAAACTGTTTTCAGATGTGTGAACATGATTGCACAAGGATTTTCTAATCATCAATTAGCCTTCTGAGCCAATGAGCAAACACATTGTACCATTAGAACACTGGAGTGATAGTTGCTGGAAATGGGCCTTTATACACCTATGTAGATATTGCACCAAAAACCAGACATTTGCAGCTACCACATTAGCAATGCATAGAGTGTATTTCTTTAAAGTTAAGACTAGTTTAAAGTTATCTTCATTGAAAAGCACAGTGCTTTCCTTCAAAAATAAGGACATTTCAATTAGATTAGATGAGCTTTATTGATCTCACAGCGGAGAAATTCACTCGTCACATATTGGCATGGTAATAAAAGAATGTGCAAACAAGGAGGAAAAAGGTGCATTAAGAAGAATAAACTATATATATATATAGTATATAGTATATCAAGATAAATAAGGGTTACGGTGCCAGTGTACATGTATCGCACACAATGAAAGACAAAATAAAAAAATACAAGGTATTTGTGACCCCAAACTTTTGAACGGTAGTGTAGATCACATCAGAGCATCTGGCGGCAGTGTGAGAACATATATAGTGAGCTGTTAACTCTGACTATACCACGAAACTGCAGGGTTTTGTTGTACAGTGTGAGCTGTAGCTGCGTGCAACGATTGAATAAAATTGCACAGTGCGTGCCTGGCTTTATTTAATGAATGAATTAAATAATTCAGTTAAAGGTCTGCACATCTAAAAACAGTGAGAACTAATCCGCACTCTGTTTGTTTGTGGTTCAACACGTCGGATGTGATGGTTTCTTGTTTTTGATAAAGGAAAAATATGATTTTAAAACTATTTTTGAAAATGGCCGCCTTCAGTTGGCTATAAAATAGGTTTTAAGCTGAAAAATTGTGCTTTTCAGACAATTTAACAAAGATAAAATATATAATTTGTTATTGAAATTACCAGGGGAATAAACACTATTCCAGAAAAATGGAAAACCGCAGCAGGATGTATGATCCCACTATGTTTGCATGAGAAAATGTTAAACCATGCAAGTAAAATTGATCTGAGAAAGTAAAGAACAACCTGATGAAAGGCAGCCAGCGGTCCATCAGTGTTTAGATGATGTGAGGAAAATCTTTGTTTCTGCTCGTAATGAATAAATCACAGAAACATTTAGCCTTCAGTAGAGCTTCACTGCAGGAAGGCTGTCAGGAGTCAGAGGCTCTGCAGCATCGTCTCTGTTGATGCTTCCACCACTGATGGGGAATTATAGCTGTACATTCTGGCTGATCTATTTCTGTGATTGACTTGTTTGCAGCGAGTCTTTGTGAGGAGATGAAGACGAGGAGAGAGAGTCCCATCGTTCAGGACATCGGAGACGTGTTGCTGGCCAAGGTGAGCCAGCTGAGCTGTTTCTCTAAACGCTAATGGAGCCTAAATCAGGGCTGCAGCTAATGATTATTTTGTTAATTGATTACTCTGTTGATTAGCGTTTTCAATTAATTGATTAATCAGATAGCAAAAGGTTCCTTAAAGAAGATTTTTTTTTACAGCATTAAACCAGTTGAGACTAAAACGTTTCCCCTTGGTGATTGTTTCAGTAATCGATCAATCCAATTATTGTTTCAGCCTTAAACTAGATTCAGTATTTCTGTGACAAATGCTCCATGTGGATAAACTACAGGCTGAGTGTTCAGAAAAGGATGATTGTTAGGAAACTGCCCTGCATTCCCATTGTTAAGTAAGGTGGAGGGTGAATAATGCTCTGGGCCTTTTTCTTCTTTAAAGGCCGTCGTCCATCGTTAACTTTGAAATGGCGGTTTTTCTGTTTTTGCAGGTCGAAGGTGCAGCCGGACACGAGTTTCAGGAGCAGGTGTCTCAGCTGTGCTGCCAGCAGACTCAGGCTCTGGAGCTCATCAAGAACAAAAAACGGAAAGAGTCGCGCTTTGCTCAAATCATCCAGGTCAGCGTCCCTCAAACTCTGCACCGTCTGAATTAATGACATGTCAGCGAGTTCAGACATCCTATATTAGCCCAGCTCCTATTAGCATATCTGAATGCATTGGTTTTATTTCTATATCAACCTGTAAGGTGTATGGTGTGCATCTTTGGCATAAAACTTTATTTGTTTTTTGTATTTTTACATATATTAGACACTTATGCTGCATTCACACAGCAAGCAGCAGAAAAAGCAACAGGCGTGCTGCTTCATTTTTTATTCTTGTACAAGTTTAGTTCTGATGTGTGGCTGAAGCATCTTTGCTGCTCTAGCTGCGCGGTGGAAAGGCAGGTGTGGGTGGAGCTACTCTATAATTTCTTTGCCTGTAACAATGGCAGCTGTATTTGCTGTGATCAGTGGGCAAAGTAGTTAAAGTAGGTAAGTAGTTTTAATGTTTTTAAGTGAGAAAGTCCACCTGAAAACTTAATCTGTGCAGTTAATCCAGATTACAATCCTAGCTTCAAATAATATTTCGCTATTGTGGCCGCTCAGACCTCCGTACACCGGCGGTGCGCTTTCACTAGGAATCCTGTTCAATAGCCTCTGGCCCGGTCACCTTTGTGCGGTTTTCCGCTACTGTTCACGGCGGCTGGAAGGGGTTTTTTACGTACATAATCCAAACTGCAGGCACCAGGATAATAAAATCAAACATATTTTGCTGGCAAGTTGATTTAAAGCCGTAGGGAAATCATATTTAAATGTCAAATCATTCTGGCTAAAACATGTATATAAATGTACTCTTTATCAGACGATATTGTCCCAAAATTTAGAAAATTTCTATTTAAAAAAAAAATCCTGTCTTTAAATCTGTGTGTGTTTTTTTGGTTATCTTATGCAGGCCAGTTAGTTATACGTCAGCCTGAACACCTAAATTCATCCAATCATACATCAACGGTCATCTGTCAATCACATTTTTTTGGTCATAGCATCTTGATTCAAATGTCGCACCTAATATACGCAAAGGTTAAAATAACAATAATTTACTTTCCTATTGAGTTGCGTCCCAGTGTTACCAGGGATGGACGTCTGTGTCTTCAGCAGGCGTAGAGCTAACAGAACTGGCAGCGTTGTGAGGCAAGGACTCAAACATGTACGGCTGTAAGCCTTCTACACCAAACCAAGCTTCTGCCGCCCTGGCGTCCTCTTCCACAACAACTTCGTCCCCGCTTTCCTCCTCTTAATAAAAAATGTATGATGGAGGAGACTCATCAACGACCTCTGACACTTCACTCTTGTAAAGTCGTGCACCACTTGGGAGAAACAGTTGGAACGGCCATTTCCCTACGACTTTAATCAACAGTTTCAGTGATCACAGCGATCTACAGCAGCAGTGTCTGTCTCTCCTCCAGCTCCCAGATTAGCTTCTCTGATTGGTTGATGTGGCGTGTCGAGCAGAAAAAGTTAAATTTTTTTACTCCAGCAGCTGCTGCGTTCGCAGCAGGTCGTGTGCGTCAGATGCTCAGAAGCTCATGAGAATTTTCATAAGCTGCTCAGAAGCGCTTCTAGACTTTTTGCTGCGCCAAGATGCGCGTCAACCGTTGACTTTGCATTTTAACTATCTGCTTCTGCTGCCTCTGCTGCTTGGAAACGTAGCATTAGACAAACTTTATCATCATTTCGTACACACAGGATGTATAGAAAAAAAGATTTTGTTCAGTACGTTCTCAAGACATTTCCATTTCTTAAAGTGCAGCAGTGATAAAATGTATTCTATGTAATATTATCTTATTAGTTTTTCTTTATCCTATAAAGTTAATATTTCTTGACTGGTTATAAATGAAAAGCATAATAACGTAGAAGCTTTGCGTCTTTTTGACGTAATGTTTCTGACTCAGGAGTGTGAGGCGAGTCCTCAGTGTCGTAGGCTGCAGCTGAAAGACCTGCTGGTGTCTGAGATGCAGAGACTCACCAAATACCCTCTGCTGCTCGACAAGATCATCAAACACACAGAGGGTGAGCAAGCCGCTCTCTAAGCGACGCCGTTTCCATGGAAACAATCTGATTTACAAAGAAACCTGCCGCCGTTTCTCCTGCAGCCGGGTCGTCGGACCTCCCGTCGCTTCAGCGCGCCCAGGCCTGTTTCCGTGGGATACTGAAGGCGGTCAACGAGGACGTAAGGGAGACGGAGCACCGGCAGCGCCTCAGTCAGTACCAGCGCCGACTGGATGCCGCGCCTCAGTTCAAGGTGGGACAGAAGGCCTTCATTCAGCCTGGTGACGGCGTTCTGTCACAAGTTATTTCTGATAACTTAACCTCTCTGTCGTTTAGAGTCTGGACCTCACCGCCAAGACGATGATCCACGAAGGTCCGCTCATCTGGAAGATAAACAAAGACAAGCAGATAGGTGGGTTTTCCTGACAGCGATCAGCGCAGCGCCGCCTCGTCAGACCTGCTAACCCCTGCTGTGCTCCTCCTACAGAGATCCAGGCGCTGCTGCTGACAGACTGCCTGCTCCTCCTCCAGAAAGGCCCGGATGATCGGCTGCAGCTGCGCTATCCGTCCCGCTGGTTGGGAGGAGGAGGCGGGGGCAGCATAGACAACAAGACCTCATTCAGCCCTCTGGTGAAGCTGGACTCTCTGATCGTCCGCTCCGTAGCTACAGGTACGCTGCAGGAGGAATTGGACCAAGTTAGATGAACGTCTCGTTCATTTTTTTAATCAAATACCTGCTTTTGTTTGTTTTGGTGCCAGATAAAAAAGCTCTGTACATCATCAGCACCACGGAGACACAGATCTATGAGCTGGTGGCAGCTTCTCCATCTGAGAAAGACACGTAAGCTGGTTCCTTTGACTCTTTTAGATCACAGACCAGCTTCCTTCTTCTTTTCTTTAAAAATAAACTTTTTCTTCTCTGTATCTGAATGAGTTTCTGACTTTTTGCTGTTTGCTTCACAGCTGGATAGATTTACTTGAAAAGACGACCAGTGGATTGAAAGAGAGCAATCACAGATCACTTCCTGTTCCGTGAGTATTTCTCCTGTTCAGAATCAGGTTGTGATTAAATGTTTGCTGTCACTGAAAACAACTTTAATTACTGTAGGTTTAGCAGTTACTTTCTAATGCTACATTTTTAAAGCACAGCTCTATGAAATAATTGATTATGTTTTTTTTTTGTTTGTTTTTTTTAGTTCTCCTGGTTCAAACAGAAGTTCACCAGTTTTAACTGAAGGTAAAAAAAAACACTGATCTGTTTTGCTCAAGAAAAGAATCCAGAGAAACTTTGTTTTTTTTTTCAGTGTTTAAAGAGGAATATGAAGTTGTTTTTTTGGTTTTTATTAAAGTTAAAAAAAAGTGATCTGAAAGGGGAAAATAATTTTGAAAATAAATCTAATCAAGAGAACAAATGTTCACACTAAAAGCAAATAACATACGTTATGTTATGTTATATATATATATATATATATATATCATGGGTACTTGTTGATGGCATTAAAATTATTTCTAAGAGCATTAAAAAGCATTAAATTAGAGTTACTCGTTCCTGTATAAACCTTGTTTAAATGAAGTGTTAAAGACAATCCTTTTTGTTATTTTACTCATTTATTTACGTTTTTGTTTAGTTCAGGTGTTAATGTAAGGATTTCCTTTCCTTACGTCTAATACTTTATTCTCTCTCCATCTATAAAACTTTGTGTTTCTTCCTTTTGCGACTGAAGCTTCTATGGTTGTTTTTAATGCTTCTACTTTTTTAATCCATCAGTCCATCCTGTGGAGGAGCAGTCAGACTTCATGGAGAGCCTTCCATCCCATAATGACCACGAACTGGGCGACCTTCCTACAGAGCAACCTGACGCTGATGGCAGCGATGAGGACCAGGGAGTCGGCGTAGCGGAAGCAGCTTTACATGATGGTGAGAAAGAATCAGAACCGGAAGTTCTGAAGGTTTTATATGATGATAAACATTTTCAATCCTTCTTATTTTTCGTTTCCTCCACAGTGGAAACTCTACGAAGGCTCATTTTACCGCATGTAGAGGAGGACAGGTGGAGCCACGATACAGACGACACCCCCACCAACACCATGAGCAACGGAAATGCCGAGAGGAGACGACAGGAGTCCCTGGAGACGGTGCTCGACTTCTGCATCAATGAATTGGAGCCAGAGGCTCCGCCCCCAAAAGCTAGGCCTCCAGAATCTCCGCCTCCAGAAGATCCGCCCACACCCAGCAGGCAAACCAGTTTCAAGGTTGTGAGGAAAGGTAAAAAAACTGCTGCGAGGTCTAACGTTAAATGATCTTTTTCTTATATTTAATCCTTTAATCCTCACTGGTGATGATGACTAAAATTAAAGATATTAGCTGCGTTTCCGATGCAAATGTGCACAGAACTATGATGATATTCTTCTAATTTGAAAGATTCAGAGTTTCGCAATTGCGGTACGTCCGTTAAATTAACAATTCACGCAATCTGAGGGGTAATGGAAACGCTGCTATTATCTGACCATGATTAGTCTTTGAATTCTGGGAGTCTTTGCATGTTTCTTTTCAACCTGTGATTATTTATTCTTTAAATTTAATTTGCCTGCAAAAATCAAAAAAACAAACTTTTTGTTCTTCTTCACCTTTCCGCTTTCTTTCACTCTTTCACTCTTCGTCACACGTTGGTCCTCTATGTGTAGCTGTGGTTGCGGGTGCTCCTCCTCCTACTCCTTCTTCTTCTGCCCCTGATGGCATCACTGATGATGTCAGCCTCCCCTCCCACCTGCCGTCCCAGTCTAGAGGCGAGGTCAACCAGCAGGGTAATGGAGGCAAAATGAGTCGCCTGCTTCAGTTTTATGACACAAACAAACTTAAATTACTGAAGTAATCAAAAATAACCTGCAGCTGAGGTGAAAATGTCAAACTAAAATCGCCTCTCTGGTTTCCAGGGAACATGTTCTATCTGGTGTTACCCTCAGAGCAGGGAGAGAGCGTCACCGATGACGTCCGTGACCCTGCCACACCCACCGCCAACCGCGTCCCTCTGCGTCTAGAGGAAGTGTTGTCGGCACAGATTCAACCAGAGGATGAAGCAGCGGCCTGCTGCTCAGAGTTCAGCCAATCAGAGACAGAAACTATGCAATTGGAATTAGATGTAGAAGAAGAAGAAGAAGAAGAGGAAACGGGCCCAGCAGAAGCTGCACAGCAAAGCCACGTGATAAAAAACGTGGATGAGATTTTTCTCACCATCGAGGGTTTGATGAGCAAATTGCACAAACTGAAGGTGAGGTTCTTTTTTTTTTCTTCTTTAGTCTCTGAGAAGCAGAAAGCTTGATCATTTAGATCCTTGCTAAAATATTCACACCTTTACCAGGGTTATATAGTTAAAACGAAAACAAATAAATAAATAAATAAATAAATAAATAAATAAATAAAACTATAGCTAACTAAAACTATGGCTGTTCAATATGATCGTGGTTATTTTGACTGAAATTGAGGTCTGAGTTATTTAATAAAAAGTTACAGCTAATTAAAACTAAACTAGAATCAAATATCTAAAACTGGTTCTGCCCCCCGAACTGAAAAATAAACTAAAGAAATTTAAATACAGGCCAATTTTTCTTGAAATAGGTGTTTATGACTGTGATTTAGGCAGGAAGGTCAGATAATCTAACCTTGCGCTGAAAGCTGGATTGTCACGACATCTGAGGTTTCAGTCTCACAACAAATCCATCTTGAAAGATTCCCGCTAATACGTCCATCTCATAACGACCAGCGGGTCGGACCAATGACATGCCAGCAGTGTTTTTTATGGGTTGGACAGTGAAAAAGGCCTTGCTGGGGCATAACAAACATGACTACGCTGGAGGACTCACTTGTCGACACCGCAATTGTTTTAGCTAAAATAGCGACAATTTCTTTTTTTAAAAAGGAGCAAAGAGAAGCACTCTGTGAATTTTTAGATGGGAAAGATGTCTGGGCTTTTCTTCTGACAGAATTTGGAAAAAGTTCAATTAATCAGCTTACAAAACATGACGATTCGCTGCTACAATTTTTTTTATTTTTTTTA